TGTTTCCTCCCCAAAATCCCCATGGAGGATCCACCTCATGGCCCTTCTATGGGTCAGACCCATAGATCCTGCCCCACAAGTGCCCCCCAGACCCCAACATCCGCCCCATAACCATCCATCACCACCATAATCATCCATCCCTCCTCCTAAACCCCTTCGTCCCTCCTAAAATCCCAGTATTCTTCCCCAAAATCCCCATCCAGGGGTGTCTCAGGGCTCCTCTGTGGGTCAGACCCACGGATCCTGCCCCATAAGTTGCCCCCCATAAGTCTCCATCCGCCCCATAGACATCCATCCCTTCCATAACCATCCATCCCATCTCCTAAAGCCCTCCCTCTGTCCTGAAATCCTGGTATTCTTCCCCAAAATCCCCATCCAGGGGTGTCTCAGGACCCCTCTGTGGGTCAGACCCACAGATCCTGCCCCATAAGTTGCCCCCCAGAAGTCTCCGTCCGCCCCATAACTGTCCCTCCCTTCCATATCCCTCCATCCTCCCTCCCAAAGCCCTCCCTCTCTCCTGAAATCCTGGTATCCTTCCTCAAAATCCCCATTGAGGGGTGTCTCAGGGCTCCTCTGTGGGTCAGACCCACACATCCTGCCCCATAAGTTGCCCCCCATTAGTCTCTGTCCACCCCATAACCATCCGTCCCTCCCATGTCCCTCCATCTCCCGTCCTAAAGCCCTGTATCATCTCCAGAATTCCTGTTTCCTCCCCAAAATCCCCATGGAGGAGACATTGAGGGGTGTCTCAGGGCTCCTCTGTGGGTCAGACCCATAGATCCTGCCCCATAAGTTGCCCCCCATAAGTCTTTGTCTGCCCCATAACCAACCGTCACCACCATAACCATCCATCCCCATCTCCTAAAGACCTCCCTCTCTACTGAAATCCCACTATCCTTCCCCAAAGTCCTCATGGAGGAGCCATCGAGGGGTGTCTCAGGGCCCCTCTGTGGGTCAGACCCACGGATCCTGCCCCATAAGTTGCCCCCCAGAAGTCCTCGTCCGCCCCATAACCAACCGTCACCACCATAACCATCCATCTCCAATCCCAAAGCCCTGTATCTTCTCCAGAATTCCTGTTTCCTCCCCAAAATCCCCATGGAGGATCCACCTCATGGCCCTTCTATGGGTCAGACCCATAGATCCTGCCCCACAAGTGCCCCCCAGACCCCAACATCCGCCCCATAACCATCCATCACCACCATAATCATCCATCCCTCCTCCTAAACCCCTTCGTCCCTCCTAAAATCCCAGTATTCTTCCCCAAAATCCCCATCCAGGGGTGTCTCAGGGCTCCTCTGTGGGTCAGACCCACGGATCCTGCCCCATAAGTTGCCCCCCATAAGTCTCCATCCGCCCCATAAATCCCTGTATCTTCTCCAGAATTCCTGTTTCCTCCCCAAAATCCCCACGGAGGAGCCATCGAGGGGTGTCTCAGGGCCCCTCTGTGGGTCAGACCCACAGATCCTGCCCCACAAGTGCCCCCAGACCCCAAACATCCGCCCCATAACCATCCATCACCACCATAACCATCCATCTCCCATCTCCTAAAGCCCTCCCTCTCTACTGAAATCCCACTATCCTTCCCCAAAATCCCCATGGAGGAGCCATCGAGGGGTGTCTCAGGGCCCCTCTGTGGGTCAGACCCACAGATCCTGCCCCACAAGTGCCCCCCAGCCCCCAACATCTGCCCCATAACCATCTGTCACCACCATAAACATCCATCCCCATCTCTCAAAGCCCTCCTTCTCTCCTAAAATCCCGGTATCCTTCCCCAAAATCCCCATGGAGGAGCCATCTCATGGCCCTTCTGTGGGTCAGACCCACAGATCCTGCCCCACAAGTGGCCCCCAGCCCCCAACATCTGCCCCATAACCACCCGTCACCACCATAACCATCCATCCCCATCTCCTAAATCCCTGTATCTTCTCCAGAATTCCTGTTTCCTCCCCAAAATCCACATGGAGGAGCCATTGTGGGGTGTCTCATGGCCCTTCTATGGGTCAGCCCCATAGATCCTGCCCCACAAGTGCCCCCTCTCCCCCCCCACCCCAGGTACATCCGCCCCTCCATGCTCCAGCACCTCCTGCGCCGCCTGGTCTTCGACGTCCCCATCCTCAACGAGTTCGCCAAGATGCCCCTCAAGGTGGGGATGACTTGGGGGGCCTTGGGGGGTCCCGACTTGTGGGGCTGGGACCCACTGACCCCTCCCTCTGCCCCACAACCGCCCCACAGCTCCTGACCAATCACTACGAGAGGTGCTGGAAGTACTACTGCCTGCCCAGCGGGTGGCCCAACCAAGGGGTCAGCTCCGAGGAGGAGCTGCATCTCACCAGGAAGCTCTTCTGGGGCATCTTCGAGTCCTTGGCCCACAAGGTTGGGGGGCACTTGGGGGGCAGAGTTATGGGGGGGACACGGGGACACGGAAATGTGGGGCTGGGGATGGAGGAGGAGGAGTTGTGTCCCACCAGGAAGATCTTAAGATCTTCCGGGGCGTCTTTGAGACCCTGGATAACAGGGTTGTGGGGCACTTGGGGGGCAGAGTTGGGGGGCACTTGGGGGGCAGAG